AGGATCATGAATGTGTAGCTTGGGAGTCTTCAGAGGAGAGAAATAGGGTTAAAACTAATCATCATGAGAGATTCCAGGATTTAGCATTTGACTTTTTTTTTTTTTTGGCGGAACTGGGGGATTGAACTCAGGCCCTTGCACTTGCCAGGGAAGCGCTTATTCCACCGAGCCATCTCCCAGCCCTACATTTGACTTTTTTAAATGAGGGTTCAGAGCTGTGCATGTCAAGTTCCTGGAGGAGAAAGCATGTGCTTCATCATGTGCCCTGCCAGGTTACAGGAAGTTGGAGTCAGTCAGTAGCTGAGTTTACCCTCTTTATTTTCATCTGGTGCTATCTTCTTCATGCCCAGTGCACGAAGAAGTGGAAGACCAGGATTGGAAACAAGGACTGATTAAACCCATAATGTCTAGTAATGTCTTTGCAGGCCTGAGTCACATTTCAGTGGAAGTGATGGAGAAAAGCCATGCTGTGCTCTATTTGGCAAAGGGCTGCCAAGGTCTTTTGAATTAGCAATGACAAACATGAATATGGTAGAAAAGTTCAGCCTTCCTAAAGGTGGTATTTAGAAAAAGCACCACAGTGTTCTTCAGATTCTTAGAGAAGCTTAGCAGATTCATTGAATCATTTCTAGTATTAGTGTCACTGGTAGGATGAATGCCTCTTGTCTTAGTGATTTTTCTCATTACTAAAACAAAACAATTGAGACTCAAGATTAATGGAGAAAAAGTCGATTTTGCTCACAGTTTTTAGATATTTCAGTGCATGTGTGACTAGCTTGATGGTAGAGTGTCAGGGAAGCAGGGGCTTCACAGAGGATGCACAACTCACGGAAGGCAGAAGACAGCCAAAGCAGCACACAGCAAGCAACAAGTGACCACAGCTGCATTCCTTGTATTCCTTCTATTCTGTCTAGTCTCCCTCCTCTTAGGGTGGCTAGAATTTAGTGGATTTATGTTTTCCATTCTCTGGACTATGACAAATAAACCAGTAAAGTAATTTAGTGATAACACACCCTTTATTTCTGCCTCATAATCCCAGAAGCACACATTGTAGATCCAGATACCTCTGATTAGCCCCATGTACAACCACATGAAGCTGCTGTGGATTCAACTTAGACACAAGGCCTAATACTTCCCAACTTACATATAGGTGTATGGAGGATATAACAGAAGTATCAGTAGGTATAAAAGTGAGAGGTCCTTAAGGCCAAAGCCTGTAACTCCTGTCTCTCCTATAGATGATGGAGAGAAATCTGTCACATAAGATGCATATTTGTGCAGTTTCTTTTTTTGATGATTTAATTTAATTTTATTTATTTATTTTCAAAGTTTTATTGATAAACAGATAGCAATGAGACAGTTTCAAATCAAATCGGAAGTACAGTTTCA